CAAAAGTAAGTAAATACTATGCTTTCTACCCAGAAAAGTAAGTATTAAGTGACACTAAAAAGTGCTGCTTGAAAACTATTTCTTTCGTATTTCAATAAGGAAAAAATGGTGGGAAATTTGAAGTCATAGAAAAGAAACAGCTTCGAGTCTTCCCAAAATGAAAGGTATTGCAACAAAGCAGTCAAAATTGTAGCCACGAATGGGAATTGAAATTTAGTCTCAGGAAAATAATTTATTTATATAATAAATTAATGCTAATCCGAATGTCAATGATTTTGATGGCCTGTTTCTTCTTTCCATGTGCACATTTCATTTTAGTTTTAAATTAAATATGAACAAAAAAACAAAGTTTTTAATCCCTGTTTTTAGGTTAAATATAAATAACAGAATAAGAAAAATGCAATAGCAATGGTGAGACATATGAATAATTTAATTTTACTAAACCTGTTAACGTCATTGTGTCCATTTCAAAGAACAAAACTCAAATTTTATTGTTAGCTATAATTTTTTGAAAGAGTTTATTAAGACCCTATAGAACACAAAGTACCTTCTCTTTCCTCTACCACATTTAGTCCTCTGTTTACAATATTGCTTTACAAGTATTTCTTCATACGAGTACTTAATGGCTTTAAGAGTAGGTCCTATGTTCATATCTGGCTGTGCCATTCATTAGGTGTAGCAAAGCTTGTCAAATGATCACCAATTCATTTCTTTGTATGGAAGGGCAGGACAATGTTCATCTTCCAGCTTCTTTGTGGGAACCATGTGATGGATATGACAAATGGACACAAGAGCTATACAGTATTATAGTGACAATGTTATAAGTAACATATGGAAGTAGCCTGGATTGCTTACACATACTGAATCATAGATATGAGGACATGAACAACAGATAGATGATTATGTTGTTAAGCTATTAGGATTCTGGTATTATTTCTTTGATATAGTAGCCTAGCCCAATTCCCCTGGAAATAGACAGCCTATGACCTTGGACAAGTAAAGTTCTACTAAGTGTCACAGTTTCTCCCTCTAAAAAACTAGAGCAAATAAGCTACTTCGTAGACAATGTGCCAGAATTCAATGAGTTAATCCACATACAATTCTAAGAACATTGCCTAGTGCTCAGTAAGTATTATTATTGGCCTCTCTTCTCTACTGTAGCCTCTTAAAACTGATGTCTTTGTCTTATTCAGGTTTGATTTGCCACATATGTCTTATATGCTTGGCACATAGGGGTACTAAACTAAAATTTATTGATCTGCTAGTGTTGGTGCAACAGAAATATCACAAGCTGGTTGTTCAAAGAAGAATGATTCTTTCCCCACAATTCCAAAACCAAACACGCTGTCAATAAGTCAGTGCCGACTATTGGGGAGACTGTAACTATCTACCGGAGTCCTATCTTTCTCCTACTGAGTGGTTGGTTGTTTCCAACTGCCAATCGTGTGGATTGCAGCCCATTGTAACCAATGTTCCACCAGTATAGAAGCTAAATTCCACATCATAATCTCCATTTTGTTTATCCCTTCCATGTTAGTATTCTTTGCTTCTTTCGTGATCCACCCATGGCTTCTGGGTCTCCATGTCTTGCTATCTTGGCTCTAAGGAGCACTCTGGATGTATTTCTTCCAAGACAGATCTTTTCTCCTTTCAGCAGTCCATGTTGTTAGTCCATTTTATTGTGAGTTGTCATCGAATCAGTTCCAACCCATAGTTGCACAACAGAATGAAATAGGGCATAACCCTGTTCCAGCCTCACAATTATTCTTAAATCTGAACCCATTGTTGCAGCCATGGTGCCAATCCATCTCATTGAGAACTTCATCTTTTTTGCTGTCCCTCCACTTTATAAAGCTTGATGTCCTTCTCCAGGGATTGTCAAGAGATCTCACAGGTTGTCAATAAATTTTCCTCCAATACTGATGCCACATTCTTCTTCGTATCATCCAGCTTCTCCAATGGTTTGTTCAGCATACAGATTGAAAAGTATAGTAAGAAGATACAATGCCGATGCCAACCCTTCCTGATTTTAAAGCATATAGTATTCCCTTTTATTCTGTTAGCACAAGTTTCTCTTGATCCACATACAACTTCCACATGAGTGCAATGAACTGTTTTGGAATTCCCATTCTTCTTTAGGCTATGCATAGTTTATTATGGTCCACACAGTCTTGGCATAGCCAATAAAACACAAGTAAACAGATTTCTGGTATTCTCTACTTTGAGTCAGTATCTATCAGCCATCAGCAATGATACCCTTTATTCCATGACCTTTTCTAAATCTGACCTGATTCAGATTCTGTTTCTTGCTACAACCATTAATGGATGATCTTCAGCAAAAATTTACTTGCATGTTATCTCAATGATACTTTTGTTGGGTCACCTTTCTTTGGAATGGGCAAATACATGGATCCCTTCCAGTCAATTGATCAACTAGCTTCTTTCCAAAGTTCCTGGCATAGAGCAGTGAGTGCTTTCAGTTGCCCCTCAGCTTGTTGAAACATTTCAATTCGTATTCCATCCATTACTGAATCCTTGCTTTTGTCTAATGCTTTCATTGAAGCCTGAACATCTTCCTTCCGCAGCATTGGTTCTTGTTCATATGCTACCTCCTGAAATGCTGGAATATTGACTACTTTTTTTGGTACAGTGATTCTGTATTCTTGTCATATTCTCTTGATGCTTTTTGCATCATTCAATATTTTACCCCTGGGAATCTTTCAGTATTGCAAATTGAGAATTAAATTTTGTCCTCAGTCCCTACAGTTTCAGTTATGCTGAACATGTTATTTCCTTTTGATTTTATAATTTGAGATGTTTGCACATTTAATTGTAATTTTTTTTCTGTCTTCTCTAGCTGTGCTTTGAAATTTTCTCTTCAGCTCTTTGACATCATCCTTTCTTCTAGTAGCTACTTTATGATTAAGATTAGTTTTAGGGTATCTTCTTATATTCATCTTGATCTTTTATATCATGCCTTTTTAATGACTTTATGCTTTCTTTATGAGTGATGGTCTTGATGTCTGACCATTGGTGATTGATGCATCAAATCTGTTCTTGAAATTCAGGTGAGATAGACTCAAGGTCATTTTTCGGCTCTCATGGACTTGTTTTCATCTTCTTCAGTTTATCCTGAACTTCTACATGAGCAATTGGATTATCTGTTCCACAGTAAGTCCATCGTCTGGTTTTAGCTGCTGATATTGATATTCTCTATTGTGTCTTCTCACAGATGTAGTCCATAAGATTTCTATTTATTCCATCTGGAGAAGTCTATGTCTATAATCACCTTTTGTATTGTTTGAAAAAATTTACTATAAATGAGCCATTGATATTACAGAATTCTATCATGATATCTCTCGCTTTCTTTATATCATCATTCCCTTATTGTCCAATTTTGTTCATTCTTCTCTTTCCAACTATTTTATTACAATAGCCAATAATTATCAATGCATCTTAATTGCTTGTTTCACCAATTTCAGACTGAATTTGTTGGTAAAATTCTTTAGTTTCTTCATAATTAACTTTTGTAGTCATACATTTGAATAATAGTTGTATTGATTGGATTTTCTTGATGAGGGATAGATATAGTCTTTTCATTGATAGCATTGTACTTCAAGATTTATTTTTAATGTCTTTCTTTTTCTACAATGAATGCCAAGTCATTCTTCTTCCCAGTTTATTAACTCTGATAACTATCCGATTCAAAATTGTTAATACCGGTCCATTTTAGTTCACTAATGCCTAGGACATAGATTCTTAGCTATTCCAATTCATTTTCGATGACTTCCAATTTTCCTAGATTCATTCTCTGCATATTCTAAGTTCTGATATTTAGTCGATTTTTCAGCTGTTTCATCCAATGAAGATCAAAAAGTTTCCAATATCACAGGCATTACCTGACTCACGTCACCATGGTCACTTTCACTCCAAGAAGTCAACTAATCCTCAGCCATATTTTGAATTCCCTCAAACCTGAGAGGCCCATCAACTGGTATTTTCTCTGAAAATATTCATCTTCAATATTCATCTTTAGGCCTTCAATATCTGGCAATGTAAGTTTTCAGCAGTTCCTTCCTCTTTATGGGGAGTTGCGACCTTCTCCATTGTCTAGTCTCAGTCTGGAAGCTCTGGTAAAACCTATTCATTTTGGATGACCTTTTCAGCATGTGAAATACCAGTGGCATAGCTTCCAGTATTACAGCAACACACAAGCCAGCACCGTATGACAAACTGACAGATAATGTTGGACCTATTTGCCTAGTTGTGAGAATTTTGGCTGTTTTCACCTTGAGTGGTAATCCATAATGAAGGCTGCATTCTTTGAACTTGATCAACAACGGTTTCAAGTCCTTCTCAAGTTCAGCAAGCAAAACTGTGCATTTAAATATTGAAGCTTTTTAATAAGGTTTTCTCCAGTTCTGATGCCATCTATATAATCCAGCTTCCTCAGTTATTTGCTAAGCACACCAGTTGGATAAGTAAGATCAGAGAAAACAACTCAAACACATTACTTTCTAATTATGAACTTTAGTGCAGTGACTTTTGTCTCACACAACTCACTCTTGAGTTTTGTACAAGTTCCACGTGAGCACAGTGAATTGTTCTAGAATTCCGATTCTTCTCAAAGCTATATAAAGTTTGTTATAATCCACACATTCGAATGGATTGGCATAGTAAAAACAAGCAAACAAAAACTTCAGTAAACATCTTTCTGGTATTCCCTGCTTTGAGCCAATATCCATCTAACACCAGCAATGATATCCCTTGCTCCGCATTGTCTTCTGCATGTGGCCTGAACCTCTGTCAGCTCCTTGTCAGTGTACTGCTGCAATCCGTACTGGATGATATTAGGCAAAAATTTACTTGCAAGTGAAGTTAATGACACTGCTCTGTAATTTGAACCATCTGTTGAATTTCATTTATTTTGAATGAGTATAAATATGGATTTCTTCTAATCAGTTGGCCAAATATATCTTTTTTATTTATGTTTTTTTTTTCTTTGTGCAGTCTGCTTCAGTACTGGAAGCCCACGGGATAGGAGGCAAGGCAATGGTTGGGGGCTCTGGTTTGCTCTGGCATGGGACACTATGAGAGGCCCATGGGCACGGCCTGCCATAAATCTAAACCCATGCGTGAGTTGGCCAAATATCTATCTTCCAGAATTCTTGGCATAGATGAACTAGTTCTTCCAGTGTTTCATCAACTTGATAAAACATTCCCATTGCTATTCTATAAATTCCTAGAGCATTTATTTATTTGTTGAACACTTTCAGGTCAGCTTAGACTTCTTCCTTCAGTACCATTGATTCTTAATCATATACTACCTGTTGAAATGGTTGAAGATCGACTAGTTCTTTTTGGTACAATGACTGTATTATTTTATCTTCATTTGATGCTTCATACATCATCAGTGACAATATTGCAGCTCCAAGCTTGAATTGTTTCTTGAGTTCTTTACAGTATATGTTGAGCCTGTTCTTCCTTTACGGTCTTCTAACTCTAGGCTTTTTTCACAGCATGTAGAAATATATATGTATGTATAAATGTATATCAAAGAAAATGGCTTACAATATTGTAGTAGTGGGTAAGTATAATCAAAATCAGTCTGATTCAAGTCTGTTGTTGAGGGGTTAAACTGGAGACCTCTCCCAACTCGTGTAGCTGCAGAGGGGACCATCCACAAAACAAGAAGAGGAAAGAGCAAGAAGGCAAATCAAGACTACAGGCTGATGAATGCAGATGAATCCAAGGTCAATAGGTTAGGCTGTGGCTGCATAGACTAATGAACCCAAGACCAGCAGGTCAGATGTCACATCACCTTGGCTACCACATTTGGCAGGCAAGATAATAATTCATTAGGTCAAGTCCAAGAATCAAAGGTCCAATTAACTAGATGCAGGATTCCCATCCAACAGAAATGCAAGCAAGCTTCCCACAGCTTCACTTATATAGGAGGTAGGCCACACCTTTTCAATTGTGTTAGAGATATGATCCGTAAGGCGGTAGCTCACAATTACTGGCATTGAGTTAATTCTGACTCACAGTAACCCTGCAGGACAGCATAGAACTGTTCCTATATTTTAGAGACTATAGCTCCTTATGGGAGTACAAAGACTCACCTTTCTTCCACAGAGTGGCTAGTAGTTTTGAATTGCTGACCTTGGGGTTAGCAATCCATCACATTACCCATTATGCCACTAGCACTCATATAAGGGAGCAAGGGAATTTTAATCTTCTGACACAAAACCTAAATATGCCAGGGCTAATATAGAAAATATTTCTCCACACGATTTTTTTAAACTGTTGAAAAGCAAGGATGTTACTAAGATGATTAAGGTGCCCCTGACAGTAGCCATGGCATTTTAAATTGCTCATGTGCATGTGCAGGTTGGACACTGAAAAAGGGAGAGGCACAATCAACTCATTTGAATTATGGTGCTGGTGAAGAATATTCAAAGTACTATGGACATCCTACAGAACAAATACATCTGTCTTGGAGGAGGTACAGCCAGAATGCTCCTGAGAGGCAATGATGGCCAGACTTGATCTTCCATACTTTGGACATGTTGTCAGGAGAGATCCCTCCCTCCCAAAGGCTATCATGCTTGGCATAATAGTAGGGAAGTTGAAAAGAGGAAGACCTTAGACAAGGTCTAAGACCTTAGACAAGACAGATTAGCACAGAGGCTTCATAAATCAGCTCAAACAGAAGAACAATTGTGAAGATGGCACAAGACTGGGAAGTAGTTCATTGCTGTACAGAGTTGCTATGACTTTGAACTGCCTCTATGGTACCTAGGGACAAAAAATATAGGGATGCTGGGGGAATAAGATTGAAGAATCCTCACTGATGCAATAGTTACTGAAATTCAAATCTCTTGTGGTCCATTCTACACTGTCAATTTTAAGTAACTATCTTTGCTTCAGTAAGCTTTGGGTTCAATAGCTGTCCAAAGTGCTGTGTGAATGAAGATTAGTTAGTCCAATAGCTAAACTTTCTATCAGTTTTGAAAACATTATCAAAGTTAATGAAGATTATTTTATAGAATGAATTTTAATGGAGAAAAGTCTTGGATCTACTGATATGATCCAGAGAACACCCCAAAAAATGCATTGCCATCAAGTTAATTGACACATAGTGATACTAAATAGAGTTTCTGAAGCATTCATTCTTGACAAGGACAGCCTCATCTTTCTCTCTGAGTGACTTATGAGTTCAAACTACTGACCTTGTGGGTTAGTAGTTCAATGAACAACCTCCTATGCCACAAGGGCTCCTTATAGAGTCAATCAAAACAGAAAGTTCTGAGGAGATTTACTAGGTAAGTTCAATTCAAGGCAGAGCTCAACTCAAACAGTAAAGGTGACTGCTTTTGAGACTTCAAATGGGCAATCATGATAGATATTCTAAAGGTCACAGAGTGTCACAGGGCCTTGTTAGAAGGAAGTTTTAGGAAAATTGAAAACAAATTGATGAAAAAGTGGCACCGAGCATTTTTTTTACAATGATGCACCTGTTCATTTTTTTTAATTCAACATATTAAATGGAGCAAAAGCTATCCTAAAATAATTTCTTGGTAAATCTAACCTCATACACCCTACTGCCCTTATTTTACCCCTTAAGATTTTTTAGTATCCAAACTCAAAGAACACTTAAAGAGGAGTGCAATTTGATTCCCTCAAGAATGCCAAAATTGCTGTTTTGACTTGGCATAAATCAAAGAACACAGAAGGCTTCATAAAAATGTTAAAGAGATGGAAACATTGCCTTCAGAAATCTATAGACCTAGCTGGAGTAAACAATCGCTTTACAGTTTGATTGTTCTATTTAGCAAAAATAAAATGATATGATTTTGTGGCCAAACTTTTTATTTTCCTTTGTTAAAGGATTCATTTCTGCAGTAAAATCTTCTTTCCCCTGGGTTGTCCACTTTCACCATTTTCTGTACAATCAAGCAATTTTTAAAAACACATACATGTGTATAAATCATAAACTAAGATAATTTAATTTAAATCTGATTCTACCACTTTTATTTAGAATGAGCCTATGCTATCATAAGCTCGGTCTCAAATTAAAATACATGGAAAACTACTAAATTGAAAGTCCATGTATTCTTAGGCAAATAATGCTAAGACATTTTAATTAATTTATCAGTGTCAATACAGTAGCGATTTGCCCCATACCTGTGGGTAAGAGATGAGCCCATCTGCTCCCAGGAAAATGTATAGCCTCAGAGACCCTTTGAATCTGAATTGACTTAATGGCAGCGGATTGGGTTTTATGATGCATTCTATCTACCTCTGTGCCGAGTGGGAAATGAGACTTTATGTAGCTTTTATGTGTTGTAATATTTCTTCAAATAAATCGCAGTTATAAACCGCACATAAAAGTTTGTTCATAGACTTACAGAATGTGTAGCTGACATACAACTCAAATAAGATGCATTCAGCTATTTATTATGCATGATTACATCTTCTTGTCAGTTGGATGGCCGATCTCCTCTGAGAACTGCTCTTTTGCTTATTTCCTTATTAGCACCTAAACTTGGAGCTTAGGGAAAAGATTCAATGTAACCTTGAATGCAACTCTGGAAAATTACTGGATGATGGAAGAAACAGAATTAGTGAATAAATAAATTAATTCATTTATCTGTGGATTTCAAATACACATGCCCCCACCCCCGTTTCCACAGCAAGTTGCATTGAGAGTACTAGACACGTTATCTGGGCTGTGAGGTGAAGAGGGTGTTCAAATGAACAGAACAGCAGGAGTTTGCTTAGTGCACGCATACAAGAATCACAAATACTGCAGCATGTTTTGCAGGAAGGACCTGCTGGAGCATGGAAAGGATAGAAAAATCAAAATACCAAGGAATTAAATTGCTGAATTTAGCAAAATATCCAAAAGCTTACTCAGCTGCACTCAAACATCCAGAAAGAATGTACTTCTTGAATACATCTTTTAATAACCATTAACTCTGCTTCTTGATAATGTAAGCAAGCTGTCTAGTGAATAAAGATATCAAAAATAAAGTTATCAGAATTAGACAATGAGAAAAGTATGTGGCAAATGCAGCCTCATATTCTGTAGCAAAATTTAAAAGGTAAATCTATGAAAAATATAAGCATAGAAATGAAAGAAATGATGAAAAGTTTTTATAAATTGTGAGGTATGACCTCATATTTTGTTGTTGATAGTTGCCATCCACTTCATGCTAATCACGTAGTCCAATTTTAATTGTTTTTATTAAAAAATTTTACTTCAAACATATTCTAATATTAAGATCTTTGTAAATTAAGTTAAAGATATTAGTTGAAGATATTATCACAGAACAAAAGTATAGATTGCACTGCTTAATGCTCATTCAGACAATGTCCAATCACACATGCATTCTTGTTCACATATGTTTAGGGTGTTTTTTTTGTTTGCTCCTTTTTTTTTTTAAAGGAATGCAGTTCTTGTTTAATTTATTATTTCCCCCTAATGGTTTAAGGACCCAAACACAAACTTTTGCTGCATAGGACCACAGGTGAAATACAAGAAGGCAAGACAACGAGCATGGCTGTCCACACAGGCTCCTGTGTTTTGCCTGATAGGCAGTCCAGTAATGGCAACAAGTGCTGTGGGTGGGGCCTGGGCTGGTAGTAGGAGCAAGTGACTGGGCTAGGTACTAACTTCATTTGCTTCCTCTGCTTGGTTGCTAACACTGCTGCTGCTTGTCCTCATTCTCTGCCAGCAACTCCAACGAAAACAAAAGTCACTTCCATTCAACTCCAATGAAACAAAAACTCACTTCCATCAGGGCACTGCTGACTCATAGTGATCCCCTGCCGGTTTCTGAGACTGTAACTGTTTCCAGGAGTAGAAGCCCAGAGCTCCTGCTGATTTTGAACTGCCAACACCAAGGATCACAGCCCAATGCACAACCACTGCAGCACCAGGACTCCTCCAGGAACTCCATCACCAGCATCAATATTGACGGCCCAAGTGGCAACAAAAACAGCCGGAATAAGATTATGATAAGATCTTAATATGTTGTTCACACAACATCCAAATCATATACCATCCTATTTCACTCAACATATTGTGGTCATTAGGCAACACATACCTATATTTCCATTATTTTATTTA